GTTCCGCAACCACCGTATTCGCCTGATTTGGCTCCGTGCGACTTCTGGTTATTCAGCAAACTCAAAAAGCCAATGCGGGGACGCCGTTTTGACACGATTGAGGAGATAAAAACCGAATCGAAGAAGGTCTTGAAGGCTGTACCGGAAAAAGACTATTCCGACTGTTTCGAGGACTGGAAAAAGTGTCGGAAACAGTGCGTTTTATCGGACGGGGATTACTTTGAAGGGGATGAAATTGATTTGGAAGAATAAACAAAGAATTTACATTTTATAAACAAATTCACCTTACTTTTTGATCACAGTAGTATACCGAGGCAGACGGAGACGGGAAAAACTGATCGATCACGGATCGCCGCTTGTGAACCAGCGTGTTTAATTAGAACGATAATTAATCTTCACGCAGAATTTGTCGGGCCGGTTGATTTACCGATCCGAGGAGCAGCTAAGCGACTCTCAGGTTGGCGAATGATTGACGAAGTAATTAATCGCCGTTGAAATTGAGGAACAGGATTAACCCGGGGACGATCGGACAATTGGGAGATCTATCACGAGCCTGACAATCCGATTTTTATGAGGCCTCGCGGGAAGACGGATCATTTTTCTCGGCCACGGCGGACGTAGATTTTCAAACGATCGACCGTCGAATCGTTTACAAAACAATTACAGTAAATTCTCTCCAATTAATGCTCAGCTTGCGAACAAAAATAGACAATTTGGGAAGAGATGGTACGATTAATCGAGCTTTACGGCATATTTTTATAGTTGCCGGTTGTCAACAATTGTAAAAATGAGGCTCGAATAATCGTGTCTCCTTTTCCCAAATTATTCATTTTTATGAACAATCTGAGCGCGAATTAGAAAGAAATTACTGTACAGTAAATTTCTAAATGTAAATTTTCAAATGATCGGCCGCCGAATCGTTTACAGACAATTACAAGTAAATTCTCCCCAATTCGTACTTAGATCGCGCGCAAAAATGGACAATTTGGGAAAATGGGATACGATTAATCGAGCTTTGCGGCTCGTTTTTATAATTAGCGATTATCAAGAATTATAAAAACGAATCGCAAAGCTCGATTTTATAATTCTCGATTAATCGTACCTCCTCTTCCCAAATTGTCCATTTTCGTTTCGAAGCTGAGCGTCAATTACGGATAATTTACCGTATTTAAACTGTCAATGATTTAATTGATATTGAATCAGCGATCGAACTATTTAAATTTGACGAACAAATCGGTAAACCGAGAATCGATAAACACTTCGTCGACGAGCGTTTAAATAATCAACTTGTTGCACGTGGACCAAATTCGCCGTTCAACGCGGAGGGGCATTGAAAAATTGTTTCTAGACACTTTTCACCGTAAATCGAGTTTCAATGATACTTTCGGCGAGAACGATTTTCTAAATAACCGTCAATAATTATCGATAAACAGTCGCGATAGTGTTCGCCATTTATGCGGATCGATGATATTCATTAAACGGTGTCGCGTAACGGGACGGATCGTCAAAAGGCCCGTCATTCAGCGCGCGAGAATCTCGAATAAATTTCAGATCGATAAGTGTTCCCATCGCCTGCCGTCAATGCATCCCCGTCATCATCCTCATCGTCATCGTTCGTTCATCAACGCCGCGCGACGAAGAGCCTCCATTGTCGCGTGATCATTGTTAGGGTTGTTGCACACGATCAGGATGCTCGTGCATCATCGGAAATCATTATCCGTGTGTTAAAATTAAGAATAAACTGTATTGGCAATTGTTATTTGAAATTAACGGTAGTTTTCGAATAAAATTGCAGACTGATTTTTAAATTTGAAAAAATTTCGATGATCTTTTCTAAAAAAGAATTATCACTTCCAATAAAATCATAGACTGATTTTTAAATGAAACAAATTCTGCCGTACTTTTTTCGAAAGAAGAATACGCATTTACAATAAAACTGCGGAACGATTTTTAAATTTAAAAAATATTGGCTTCCTTCCTTGAGAAAAGTATACTTGCCAACAGTGAAATTGTAGAACGATTTTTAAATTAAAATTATTTTACCGTCCATTTTTAAATTGGAATACTTCCAATAAAGTTGTACAGCGATCTCAAAATTGAATAAAAGCTGCCACACCTTTCTCGAAAAAACAACTTTCATCTTCGATAAAATTATAGGACAAATTTCAAATGTAAAGAATTCTGCCGGCATTCTTTCAAAAAAATGCTCGAAACGAAAAATACATATTTTCAAATTCGAAATGTTACGGAAAATCGACGATTTTCAACGAATTTTGTAAACGAAATTATTTTACGAGATACACAATTTACCGAACGATTCGTTTCATTCGACTATTGAAATAAACGATATTTTGTTACTTTTGACAAGTAATATTAGCAATTTAATAGAAACACGAATAAAAATTCCTCTATAATTTACTGCATAATTGTGTTTTCATTTCATTGGAAACATCAGAGAAGATGTATCTGAAATTTCAAGCTCCGAATAATTCAAAATATTTTCCAAAATGCACGTTCCTGCATCGACAAAAAATAACACTTCCAATTTGCATCAGAGTGTCTAGGATAGAAGGCAAGAACGATTATCGAAAACTCGAAGATCCCGCGATTCCTTGTGCAACAACCGATCACAATGTCCCCGGTTAGTCCAACGACGCTCCGTGATAACCTAACGCACGATCATAACAACGAAACTCGATCGTTAGTCTAGTGGCAAACTCGCGCGTCGCGTGGTTTATGTACAACGTTATTTACAGTTGGACTGATATGACGAGCGCGCGGGCGGGTCGTTCTCTCTCCCCGCCCATATATCTCAGGACCCGCTCGATCTCGAATGTAAACGGCTTCGATCCGTTCGTGTGGCTCGCGCGAAGTCGCTCGCGTGGGAGCGGCTCTGTATTATTTACAAATCAACTTACGCGTTACGGCAGAGAAGACTTCGAATAAGCGGCTAGGGCGATATTTACAGAAGCTGAGCGGGCCGCCCATGCGCGTCGAGGCTGACGGATGTGTCCCAGATAGAATCGAGTTTTTAAATAAACAACGTTCGCGGATTTCGTGTGCTCGGTCGCGCGCCGAGCAAACATCTCCCCGTGTGTCACGTTCGAGAAACGTTCTAACGTTCGAAAGTTTCGTTTTATCGCGCGGAAGTGTCGACGGAATTCGATTCTCCGAGCAAAAGCACGTCGAAAACGTCCTACACAATTTTCTCCTAGAACGCACCTTCGCCGAGTAAATCGTGGTTGAAATTTCTGCCGACGTGCGCGCGTCGATGGGGGCGTGGCCACGGCGGTCGGTTATTTCAAAGTCGATTTTCTCAAGAACGGTGCGTCCTAGTTGGATGGTACATAAGACATTTCCGACGTGATTTGGGACGAGGAATCGTTTGATCGGCGTGCCGGCATCGGAATCCGCGATGTGGTGCAACAATGATCAAATACTTATTGGTTCGCTACGCGGGCCTGTTCAGAGTAATCCGAAGTCGAGAGGTTCCCGTAAAAATCGGTGAAACTAGAGAAAAGGTGCGGAACTTTTCTATCTGGGACGGACCGGCGACGCACCTCTTCGGCAGGAGAGTGCATTCTCTCATCGGCTGGAAGTTTCCTCGTTCGAAGACGCGCTTCATCCTTCCGCCGAGGAAACGAGAAAACTCCGTCGCGTACTTACATATTTCCGGACGCTTCTCATACGGTTCACCAAAGAAAGCACATCCTGGGGAATTTCCTCCGACGCAGCACTGGTCCATGGGGTCCTCGAGTTTTTTTGGGAATCGTTCAACTATCGGCGAACGATTTTCCCAAAAGGGAACTTCGGATATTTTTCGATGAACACCTGCGCACCGACACTGACCGCTCGAATCGAATTAGAGTAGCCTAATAGGTTCACTGGACACGCTCTCGGGTCTCTACACCGTGACCTCCTCGGAGAACCTGGTCTTGTCGTCCAGATTGATCACTATGTCGCGCGTCCTGGCGTGGCCCGATTTGCTCTTACTCTTCTCCCTCGGTTCTTTCTCTTCCGGCTTCGTTTCCGTACCGATGTCCTCCATGGTCGGCCTACCGGAAGTCGACACTGCTACGTCGGCGGTCCTCGGGGTCTTCTTCGGCTCCACCGTCACCAGGACCTCGCTATCTTTCGAGGAGCTGGGCTCTTTGGTCTTGATGCCGTTCTTCTCCACGCACGCCTGGCATCGTTTCTCCTCTTTCGCCTCCACACCTGAACAGGCGATGATTAATTGTTATAGTATAGTTTATAACTTGACAGTATGTCGATGCAAGAAAGTGGGATTTCGAACATTATTTTATTCACGACAAGAAAGGAAATATTTTAAGGAACGTTTATATTTTATTTATAAATATTTCGAGGTTGATAATTTAAGTCTGATTTTGATCGAGGAAGTTTTGTAACTATATAAATATAATAGTATAAAAATAATCTTGACATAACTTTGACATAACCTGAACAGGCGATGTGTGATTAATTGTTATAGTATAGTTTATAACTTGACAATATGTCGATGCAAGAAAGTGGGATTTCGAAAATTATTTTATTCACGACGGGTAAGAAAATATTTTAAGGAACGTTTATATTTTATTTATAAATATTTCGAGGTTGATAATTTAAGTCTGATTTTGATCGAGGAAGTTTTGTAACTATATAAATATAATAGTATAAAAATAATCTTGACATAACTTTGACATAACCTGAACAGGCGATGAGATTAATTGTTATAGTATAGTTTATAACTTGACAGTATATCGATGCAAGAAAGTGGGATTTCGAAAATTATTTTATTCACGACAAGAAAGAAAATATTTTAAGGAACGTTTATATTTTATTTATAAATATTTCGAGGTTGATAATTTAAGTCTGATTTTGATCGAGGAAGTTTTGTAACTATATAAATATAATAAGAAGATTTTGTGCAGTTTTTTAATAAATTATAAAGGAATTTATATTGTATTTGGAAAAGTATTAAAATGTTTAATATATTAAATGATAATGTAAAACTAAAACTAGTTTAGGCTGAACTTCAGTATTTTAATGATTTAAATTTGTATTTGAAAAATTCTGTTCGAGCTTGGGTCGAAATGGAATTTTAATTTGTATCTGACAAGAAAAATATTGCAATTGCAATTTGCATAACGAACTTTTGCCATTTCAATTGATTGTTAAATAAATTATTATAATCGTCGTTTGCATGGAAAGATATTGTAATTTCAAGGTACGTTTAAATAAAACAAATACTATTTCAGTTTCAGTTGATGTCAAAATTATTGTTTCAATTTGTGTTTATGTTAAAAGAATTATTGCAATTTGTTTTTATGCTAAAATTATTATTTCAATTTCCGTTTATATCAGGAGAATTATTTCAAATTACATTTATGTGAAAAGAATTATTTAAATTGATATTTACGTCAAAAGAATTGCTTCATCTTGTTCTCAGATAAGATAAAGAATAAGATAAAGGAATGTTTAAAATTTATGTTTTTTTCAGATAAGAAAAATAATTTTGGGCGAAGCCTGACGAAACAGAAAATTGTAAAACAATAAAAATCGACATCGTTGCGTGCTGACTTACCAGCTTTCTTGTCACCATCGACTTGGTAGGATCCTCCAACGTTCGTTTCAGCGATCGCCGTGGATCCATTTAGATCGTTCAGTCTCATACTTGAAGAGATCGCCTGGATCGTGGACACCTGTGTTTCTGCTCGATTTGCTGCCTCGTACATCGCCACCAACTTGTTCACTAAATGATGGTTGCCAAGAAGAATGTTTTTTTCTTTGAGGACCTCTAACTGATTTATGAATCGACGGAACTCTTCCTGAAAAAATCAAAAGGAACAGAATTTATGAATTCGTATTCGTATTTTGTATAAAATATATTTATCTGTTGTACACTCGATGAAAATTATAGTTTCATTTTAGTACAATATAATTTTTATTAATTAGTATTTAGGATATATCATTTCGTTAAGAATGCGTTAAATTAAATGCTGATTTTGATATTCGTTGTTAAATACATTCAAGCATATAATAATATAATTTGTAATAATATATAATAATAATAATGTAATAATAATAATATCATAATAATAATATAATATAAAATAGTATAGTTTTTATTAATATTATTGAATGTATTAAATTAACTGTCAGCTTTGATATTTTATTCGAGCATATTATCTCGACCAGCATAATTTTTATTAATTAATGTTTGGAATATATTATTCATTATGACTATATTAAATTATGTTGGTGTTAAGTGCGAATACTTTTCCGGTCGAATATTTTGTAAATGTGCGTAGTAATAAAATGGAATTCGATAAAATCACTGTAAAACATTGGAAGAGATCAAGAATCAATGGAAGAGATTCTGTAATGAAGTATCATGGGGACACAAAAAGTTAACAAAAGTTCCCACAAAAAATGAAAAACGAACAATGGATATTTAAATTTACAACACAATGGAACAATAGAATCTCTTCATTGTTTTCAACCAAATCGATCTGTTCTATGAACGAATAACAGCAAGGATATTTATTCTCTCTCTCTCTCTCTCAATTATACATTTTAATAAATTCCATTTTTTTGGAATTTTTTCCAAATTTTTTCGTTATAATTGTTTCGATATTTATAATTTATTTATTAATAAAAGTTTCAGTATTTACAATCCTTTCATTTATAATTGTTTTAGTATTTATAATTTATTCATCTGACAGTTGTTTTAATATTCGTAATTTATTCGTTTATAATTGCTTTAATATTCATCGTTTATTTATCTACAATTGTTTTGATATTCATCATTTATTCATCTAAAATTTTTTTAATATTCACCATTTAGTCATTTACAATTACTTTGATATTCATCATTCATTTATTTATAATTTTGCAAATAAATTTTACGATCTATATTAAAGGATATTCCTTTATATTTTCATTGACACAAATTATAAAAATCCGTAGACTATTTGATTTACAATAATTAATATCAATAAGCAGTCCCTTCACAAAGAATTTCATTTTGTCATTAATCAAAGATGAATAATTGCAGTTACGATATTTAATTGGTGTATGTCGATTCAAGGGTTCCTTTAGACGAGGAGCCTAAACGGCTGACACTGAATTAATGCATAACTAGTCCGATCTCTCATACAGTTCAGCCACGTGTGCCACAAAGACGGACCAAGATGTCTGGCCACCAAGATCTCGCCTCCACGTCGAAAGTTTTCAGCTTCCATCAGTGATAAGGATTAAGGGGATAGTTGAAGGGGATTTGGGAATCAGCTGATGAGATTGGGGGTCCACGATCACATCTATTCGATTCAGCTATTAGAAAAGTAAACGGGGTCTGCCTCCATAAGCCTACTCTCTGGAATAGCGTCATCCATGTATAGGATGAACAAAAGATCTAAAAAAATACTATAATAATACAAGTATTATACAATACTAATAATATTATACTAATAATTATATGTTATTATTTTAATATTATTATATAATTATAATTATATATTATTATTTTAATATTATTATACAATTATAATTATATAATATTAATAATTATATAGTATTATTATAATATTATTATACACAATTATAATTATATAATACTAATAATTATATATTATTATTTTAATATTATTATACAATTATAATTATATAATATTAATAATTATATAGTATTATTATAATATTATTATACACAATTATAATTATATAATACTAATAATTATATATTATTATTT